GTGTGTGTCTGTGTGTGAGAGAGAGAGAGTGGGTGAGTGATTTGACCTTGCTCATTGAAAAGTTTCTGGAGAAAAACAGAGAAATGTGTGTTCATAATAAACATTCTCATGTTTAATATTTTTATGTTATTCTCCCTCTTGAGGTGGATTAGGGACACCCTCAAAGAAAGCTACCTAGTAGGCTGAACTTAGACTTTTTGTCTTAATCATAAAAGTAGATACTCCCAGAGGTTCATCAAGTGCATCTTTCTTTGGTAGCAGGACCTGAGTATCTTGATTTCTCATCTGGCCATGAATAATACATGTGTCCACCATTGTGTTTTATCTACCCCATGGCCAGATTGCATATGGCTGTGTTGCAGACTAAGTTCCCAGGATGAGAGCTTGCTACACACAGCAGGAGGGTCAAGAAAAGGGAGGCACTGAGAAAGAACATCCGGCCCAGGAATTACAAAAGTGGATGGCATATTCTTATGAGTTCCACAGGCCTATTTTATTTCTCACCCTGCCAGTGCTTGGTAAAAAATAAAAAAATAAAAAAATAAGGCAAGTTATTTACTCAGTCGCTCAGAGTTTTCTTTGAAAAAAGACCTTAACCCTTTTGAGTTTAGCATTTGGGAAGGCAAGGACATTAATAGGAGATCATTTAAAGCTACTCGTTTCCGACATTTAAAGTAATTCTGAAAACGTCCACCTTCTTTAAATCTTCTCTCCAACCAATCGTCCTTCAACTGCACTGAATATATCAAAAGACTCAGCTACTTTCTCCCTTCCACCAGGACCTCTCATCTTTAAAAAAAAGTCTTGATAATCACTGACCTCAAGGCAGAACGTTGTCAACTTTAAACTCATTCTAGATGTTTTGGCAACAAAAATCATTTCAAGTTAAGTGCTGTGTAAATTCTTTTTAACTCCCCATCGCTTGTGTTTTAGGGAACAACAACATATTAAAAAATTAAAGTAATGCAAGAAATAATAATATAATAATAAAATATGTAGCAGTGGGAACGGTGAGAATGTTTAAATAAGCAGAAAGTAGCCCCAAACGTGTGCTCCTGAGAGTGGACTTTTCAGTGGGATTTTAAGGATTTTTTTTTTTAAACAAATAACCGTCCCTACAAGGAATCAAGTAACCAAAGAGAGAATTTAGACTTAAGCAGACATAACAAGCCGCAGCGAATGCATCAGAACTTTCACAGAAGCCTTTGTGGGCAGTTGGCCAGGCCCCGCGCATTATCTGCGGGGCTCACTGAGTCACCGCCGCTAATGGAATTGAGCCCCCTGTTTGTTGTTGCCATGGCGATGCGCTATTCTGAGGCATGTCATGTTCGCAGATCAGTAGCCGCGGCACTGTTGCCGACACACAAGTGCTCTCAGCTTTTGACCATCAACAGGAATTCACTCCGCAGTCAGTCTGTCAGGAAGGAAGTCGCTACGGTGAAGGAGCACCAGAGCCCGGCCGGCTAGCCCTTCCTCCTTCCTTTGTCACCGCGGCGCTATTATCATTAAAATAACCTTGAATTGTCATGAATTCGCTCATTCACAAACACTGTCAAAGAAGGTGCAAGAGTTCAAGAGAACCCAGAGGGTCAAAGAGAGGACTAGTTTTAAATCTGTGCCTATTGAACCTGGAAATGACATCGTCTGTTAGATATAATCTTATTCTTACCATAGCAAATCAAATCGTGCTGACTGGCACCGACGTCCAAGGCGATTCAGCACCATGAAAGGTGACCGGGGGCAAAGGGGTCATATCCTTTGTGGCACTGCTCTGAGAAATAGACACAGACATGTGTGGGAATATTCTACGAAGAATAGATTTCTCCCCAAAGTGAAAAGCAAATCCTGCCAGCAATCTATAAAGGGAGGGGGTATTCTATGCTATAGATATATTCAGATTCCAAACCAAAGGTATAATTACCAGGCTTTTCAGATCTAAACTGTTAGAACAAGTCACAGGTATTGTGCACGATGTTCTAATTTGTATATAAGACGCGATGCAGAGTTAAGACAAGATGGATTTTCAGAAAAGTGTTTTTTCCCTGTTGGAAATGTGCTTTTTATTAAATTACGTATAATTTTCATGAAGCGTGAAATATGCAAGTAAATCAGGCACACGCGAAAACACTTCTGTAAATGTTTATCTGTATTGTCCAATACAGAGTCCAGGGTTAATTATAGCAAGATAGCTTCCCATTTCCTCGGGATTCTCTTTTATGTTGGGGTTGTGCTGCTGGTCCAGAACGTGGGCATCTGGAGACCGTAATAACAACGCACCACGCTGCTAGGGGAATTGCAGCGGGATTTTGTTCTCTGGGTAGAAACATGAAATCAGAACCAAGACTTCCTGAACTGGGAAATCTGTCCAACTGGTTACTCCCTGTACGTGGAATGGGGTGCTTTGGTCAGGATGGGGAGGTTAGGGAGAAGGGACTTTTAAATTATGTTTGTTTCTCTCCTGGTAGAACAAACAGTTCAAGGACAGTGTGCTGCTGAATTTGATCAGAATTTAAGGCTGCATGACCCTGTTTTCCTGCAGATCCCTGAATTGAGGTTAATCAGAGAGCAAGCCTGCAGGGAGGCAGTCTGTATTACTCCTGCTGTGTTTAAGAATGATATGGAGAAGCCTTGTCTTCTGCCTATCTGAGCCATGTGGTCCACGAAAGGGACGCGTATTGAAAAAACAGACAGTTAGAGTCATCCCATTATGGCTATGATTATGTGAGCTTCAAAGAAATGACTTTGAATACCTCAGTGGGAGCATAAACACTTAACATTAATATTAACAAAACCACGGACAATTAAAAATGGCCTGGCAGACTTCTTTCTTCCAGAAAACTTAGACAACGGAACCCTACAATCCTAGAAATGCCCTCCTCTGATTAGGATAAAGAGAAATCCAAGGATAACTGTTTCACACACATAAAATGCTGCTTTAATTTTTAATGTACTGCTAAATTATCAAATTAAATGACATGTGGGTTAGCCTCAGATGTGCGTTTCACTATATCCTGTAATAGCTAATGCCAAGGCCATTGAAATATAGGACAGCGGTCCCAAAAGAAGAAAAGAGCAAAACAAATGCATGAGAAATGAAAAGTAAAAGAGTTTTAAAAGGTTTAGTCACCTTCTAGGAAAGCCCAGAAAGGATTGAAAGATACAGGATGGAGAGAATATGGGGAGGAAGAACAAAGGGAGTCTACCTGTTAATATCACCCCAAGGGACCCAAAGTCAAAGGAGAGCAATGTGGGATAGAACCTATTGAATCCATCTCAGGTGACAATCTTACACCCATAGGAGAACCTTACATTAGACACCCCCATATCCTGCATCCCGAATCAATATCATATTTAAGGGTGAAAAGAAGGAAACAAACAAAAACATCTGTTTTAAAGATTGAGAATTGAGAGGAAAAACTGCCCCCCCTTTTTTGTCTTCACCACCTTCTCCTTCATTGTTGGACTGAAGAGAAGTCACTGAGTAGGTATGGGATCACCATTTACCATCCCCACGATTACCCTGGGAGCCACCCCAGAGCCCAAGCACCAGGGTGGCTCCAGAGAAACCTTCAAGCTTGTGCTGTCATCACCCAGGACCGTGGGGGCTAAGGTCCCTGTGACCATGTGGAAACCACAGGAGCTAGCTGAGAGTCACTGCAAGTCTTTTTTCCTCACCAGCCACATTTCCTGAGTAACAATCCACCGCCCAAGCCTTGCCATGGTTATCAGAGTTACTGGGGATCACTCATTTACCACAAATATGTGCTTGGTGGGTGGTATAATAGAGGTAGTATTGGATCGCACCTAATATTAGTCATAATCTGTTTATACAGACATGCATCCTAAATCAAGACTAGCTACAAAAATGATAGGGACAGTACAAAATGAAAATGCGGCACCCCACATTAAAAAAAAAAAAAAGTTCTTTGCTTCTGTGGCCAATCTCTTTCTCTCTGTCTCTTAATCTGGCAATGTCATGTTTTCTTCGGTATTCCAAACCGTGCTTTGTTGGACACACAGGGACAATTGTGAGGGGAATACAGTCCCCACATCTGCCAGGGGTCCCATCCTGCCCAAGCCCAGGCCCCTGCTGGGACAGAGAGCAGGGGAGGGGGAAGTGGCAGCCAAGAACCCACCCCAGGGGGAGGTGGGACCACACAGGAGGAGAGACTCCAAGCCCTCAGCACATGCTCCATGATCCCATTCCACATAGGAAAACACAAAAATCAAAGATAAAATTATTAAGAATTTCAAAATGGTGTCCCCAGAGCATTGAACGAAAGGTGGTTCCTCTTCTGTGTGACTTTGCTGACCCCCCAGGGCCCAGGAAGCTGGCCCCTGCTTCTAAAGCAAACAACTCTAAGCGGTTTTGGACTATTTTTCAGGATTCAAATGTTTCTCTCCATGTTTTGAGAAATAACAACAGATAAATGCAATATTCTTCATTGAAATGGATGTGGGGGGACTATGTTGGGCTGTTTCAAGTTTCCCAATGTTTCCTTCTGCTGACACACACTGAGATATATTTAAAGACATAAATCGTGTATTTACGACGGATGATATGATGGAGGTACACTGTTGATAACACACATTTCTTCAAATTATTCAGATGCCATGATGTTTTAAAACCAGTTAGAGCCTTTTGTGGGATCCGCTGTCAGCATTCAGGTTGCCAGGCATGGCTCTTTATCCTTTGTTGTTCCAATCAATTTTCCACTACAACCAGCAATTTTTAAAAAGTTGTCAAAATAATTGTTCCTTGGTACTATCTACCAGAAGCATTTATGCTCTCATACACAAATTAATATAAGCCACTGGGGACGCCTTTTTTAGCTGGAGTGTCATCACGTGAATGGTATTGTGGAGAGCCATGAAGCAAAGTGAGCATTGCACGTGGTTAGCCCAAGAACAAAAATCCCATCACGGATAATACAAATAAAATCGAACCTGTTAGAGATTACAAACAAGAGGCAGTGCGTATTTTCTCACAGTCAATCCAATTACTTTATTGTCCCAGGATTTTAAAAAATTCCATCTCCTTTTAAATGTCTTCTTGTAGTCATTTGGTAGCAGCATATTTATGTATTTATGTTCACTTTTATCCAACACAGTCTGCAAATATGCCCTTCACTCGACCCAGTCTATTAATTTTGAAATGCCTAGAGCCAAAACTGACAGCAGAAGAAAATCTTTCTGGGTTGTAGCTCCAAACTGCTGGAAAAAGCTACCTGTTTCAGTAAAAATGCACAGCCACATGACTTCTTATTCAGGAAACGCTAAACTTTCTGCAGAAAGTAAAAAAAAAAAAAGTTTTAGAAGAAAACGAAACTCATTTCTCATTTTTTTTCATTGCGGAGTCTGTATATGCTTTCCTTGTCCTCTGTTTATGTGTATACACCAATTATGCTAATATACATGTTGGCCCTAGATTTCTTCCTTATGTTAGACATTTTGCAATTTAGTGTCCTAATATATATTTGCTGATAAACTTCCACTGCCTCCAGATATACCAGAATTTCCCCTGGGGACTGCGGCCTTTACTCTCAAGAACTGAAGGGAAATGCGAGTGGCTATCGCATTTCATGATTAACATTAAAGCCCACAAGGTCTATAAAGACGTTTTCCTAATTCTAGTCGTAATATTTAGCTCCTGTCTTTCACTTTCATCTGGGTCCTGTAGAATACTCCCAAAACCAAGTCATGACCCCTGCAACATTTGCTACAAGTCTGATCTTCCACATTTTACACCACTAGAGAAATAAAACCTCTATGGGTCTCATCCAAATGAAGTGTCTTCAAAACAAGGGCAAACCTATCACTAAACTCAGCAGGTGTCTGTGCATCTGGTGTTATTTGCTTCGTATTTTCCCAAGGTATCAGCTCCTTCTTCTACCTCTCTACCGTTGCAGTTTATTCTTTTGGATCTTGAAGATATTTCAGTCTTCAGGAGCCTGTATTAAAAGAAATATCCATAAGCCTTTGGCATCTAACACAGACTTTCATTTTTTAAATTTTGTTTTATATTTTATTTATTTTATTTTATTTTATTTTATTTTATTTTATTTTATTTTAATGTTTATTCATTTATGAGAGAGAGAGACAGAGACAGAGACAGAGCAAGAGCCAAGGAGGGGCAGAGAGAGTGGGAGACACAGAATTTGAAGTAGGCTCCAGGCTCTGAGCTAGCTGTCAGCACAGAGCCCGACACAGGGCTCGAACCCACGAACCATGAGATCATGACCTGAGCCAAAGTCAGACGCTTAACTGACTGAGCCACCCAGGAGCCCCAACATGAAACTTTTATAATAATTCCCCATATTCTAGACATAGAGCTAAATAGTGTCCATAAGTTAGCTGGAAATAATAGTCAAACAAAATAGTTGTCTTGAATTTGAAGAGGATGAACGAAGCTACAGGAGGGGGAGAAAAGGAGGTACAAAGGTATTAGAAACAATTTTACTTAGCACCACACAGTTTTTAGTAGTTTCCCTACCTCCTGCTTTGGCTTTTTCAAATCCAAATTCCCTACAGGCTCCCCAAGTCTGCCCTTCTCTGTCCAGTTCACTCGACAAATCCTTGCTGTTGGCATGGCACTCCCACAGTGGGCTTTGAGAGGCAGTCACAACTTACTGTGTAACATAAACTTCAGTGGTCCCAGTGCTATGGGGAAGGCTGAAAGGTGCATCTCTTAGAGATTCCTTCTTTAAAGACCACCACATCTTGCTGAAAGAGACCCTGTTTAAATGTATTTAGGAGACTTTCCTCAAGTTACCTGATGCCAGAGCTCTGGCATCAAAAAACAACCAAGAAACACAATTTGGGAGAGCTGGCTCTTCTGGTGAAAGGGCACATGCACAACATGGTGGTCACAGCCCATCCTCCCCACTAGCCTGATCTTCCACACCCATCTGCTTTGCTCTCTGTTTTCGGCAACACTGAATTGCCGTCCTCTGGTCCTACCAGTGCTTGATTTCACTGCCAATGTTCTTCCAAGCTGCATTTTCGACCTGGAATGTTCTGTTCCCATTCCCTGTGCCCACCTCTTCTAACTCAAAGCTTAACTCACCTGGCTTAGATGCTCTTCAGTTCTTCCTGAGAAGCTTCTGAGTAAGACTCTGTGTTTGAATACTGGCCCTGCCATTTACTAGCTGTGTGACCTTAGGCAGGTCACTTCACATCTTTGCCCCTCAGTAACTTCATATACAAAATGGGGGTGAAAAACAATACCTACTTCTTGGGATTGTCTGGAAGACTGAATTATTCATACATATGAAGAGCTTAGACCAGTGCTCTGCACACAGTAAGCAATCAAAGAGTGTTGTGAACACTGTGATTTTCCTATACATGACGCTATCATACACACCGTATTGCCATCACCACATTGTGTTATCTATTTGTGCATTTCTGTTCACCATCGAATTACATGCAGCCTGAACACTGAGGCTGTAGTTTGCTCATTTTTCTTCTATGCCTAGTGTCTAGCACACAGTAGGCTTTCAATAAATACAAAATGATGAATTTAATAAAATTGTTCAAAGTTACTCTTAATGAAATATATTAAATCTATAGTCCACGTAAATATTCCATAATGTTAGAAAATCTCAGCTATTAAATCTATGGCATGCTGTTTGTAATTTGCATATAGCAAAACTAATATCATAGGACAGGTTTGGTCCACCAGTGTCTCGTTTAGAATGTTAACTACAAATATGAGGAAGCTGATGTTGTCCTCACAAATTGCTGGAGGAGAGAAAAAAATGTATGAGGCAATCTCTCTAGTCTCTTTCATCTAAAAAAGTCTGGGGTCCTATGATTGATGAGGTAGGCACAGAACAGATTAGAAAACCGAACAGTCAAGAGTCATTTTGTAGATGTCCTTCTACTTTGTGGTAAGACAATGGCAGCGATTATTGTCTCTTATTTAGTTCCTTCTTTAATTGGGACTAGTAGGTTGTAGAAGAAAAAGGGAAAATAATAAAATACTTATTTTCAAGGCTTTGTAGTTCTCTAGGCTTCAACTATTTCTTGTACTTAAAAAAAAGTATTGTATTAAATTATTTTTCAGGTGGTCCTTAATTTGGTGGAGATTTTTCAGCTTTACTGAGGCATAACTGATAAAATTGTATATATTTAAGGTATAAAATATGACAATTTACACAAATATTTTGTGATATGATTACCACAGTCAGGTTAATTAACATATCCATCAACTCACACAGGTAACTTTTTTGTTTCTTTGTTCATTTTTGGTGAGAACCCTTAAAGTCTACTGTCTTAGCAAATTTCAAATACGTAACACTTTATTATTAGTTATAGTCACCATGGTGCACACTAGGTCCCCACAGCTTATTTTGTTATAACTGAATTTCTGTACCCTTTGCCCAGCATCTCCCAAAACCCAGAGTAATCATTATTCTATTCTGTTTCTATGAATTTGATTATTTTTTATTTTTTTAATGTTTTTTTATTTGTTTCTGAGAGAGAGAGAGACCGTGTGAGCAGGGGAGGGTCAGAGAGAGGGAGACACAGAATCTGAAACAGGCTCCAGGCTCTGAGCCAGCTGTCAGCACAGAGCCCGATGCGAGGCTCGAACCCACGAGCCCCTGAGATCATGACCTGAGCCAAAGTTGGACACTTAACCGACTGAGCCACCCAGGTGCCCCAGAATTTGACTTTCTTAAAGATTCCATGTCTGAGTGAGATATAATATCTGTCTTTCTTTATCTGAGTATTTTCACTTGGCTTAATATCTTCAAGACTCATCCATGTTATAGCAAATGGCAGGATTTCCCTCATCTCCAGAGCTGAATAACACACACACACACACACACACACACACACACACATTCTTTATCCATTCAAACATCAATGGACAATTCAGTTGTCCTTTATCTTGGCTATTGTAAATAATGCTGTGATGAACATGGGGATGTAGATTATCTTTGAGATACTGATTTTGCTTCCTTTGGATATTTAGCCAGAAGTGGAATGCTGTATCATACGATAGGTCTATTTTGTATTTTGGGTGGGGGCATTCCATACTGTTTTCCATATTGGCTGTTGCAGTTTACGTTCCCACCAACAGTGTGTACAAAGATTCCATTTTCTATAATATTTTGCCAACACTTGTTATCTGTTGTCTTCTATGAAAGCCATTTTAGTAATTTCTCATTATGGTGTTGTCTTGCATTTCCCTGACAACTTCCTATACCTATTGGTCATGTGTATATCTTTTTTTGTACAAGTTAATGTCTATTCAGGATTTTGGACCATTTTTATTCTAAAATTTTTAAGGTTTATTTGTTTTTCAGAGAGAGACAGAGCATGAGTGGGGTAGGGGAAGAGAGAGAGGCAGACACAGAATCTGAAGCAGGCTCCAGGCTCTGAGCTGTCAGCAAATAGCCTGACGCAAGGCTTGAACCTGCAAACTGAGAGATCATGACCTGAGCCAAAGATGGATGCTTAACTGACTGAGCCACCTAGGCGTCCCCGGACTATTTTTAAATTGTGTTGTTTGTCTTCTTGCCATTGGGATATACAAGTTTCTTATATATTTTGTATATTAAACCTTTATCATATGTATGGTTTGCAAATATTTTCTACTATTCCATATATTGCCTTTTCACAGTGTTGATTGCTTCCTTTGCTGTACAGAAGTTTTTGTAGTTTGGTGAAGCCCTATTTTTTTTTGTTGTTGTTTTGTTTCTACTTTGTTGTCTATGCTTATGGTGTCACAGCACACACACAAAAAAATCATTGCAAGATCAATGCTACGGATATTTTGCCCTGTTTTCTTCTAGAAGTTTTAAGGTTTCAGTTCTTTATTTTTTAAAGTGTATTTATTTATTTTGAGAGAGAGAGAGTGAGTGCATGAGCTGGGGGGGGGGGACGGGGGGGCGGGGCAGAGAGAGAAGGAGAAAAATAAACCCAAGCAGGCTCTTCACTGTCGGAAAAGTGCCTGATGTGGGGCTCTGTCTCACAACCATCATCTCATGATCTGAGATAAAACCAAGAGTCAGATGCTTAACAGACTGAGCCACTCAGGCGCCCCTACATATAAGTCTTTAATTCATTGTAAGTTAATTTTTGTAAATGGTGTAAGATAGGGGTCCATTTTCATTCTTTTGCATGTGTATATATGTAATGGTTTATGTCTAGCCTCTCTATTATATTCCATTGGTCTGTGTCTTTTTATGCCACTATCATACTATTTTCATTATCATAGCTTGGGAGTTATAGTTTAAAATCAGAATGTATGATACCATCAGCTTTGTTCTGCTTTCCGAAGATGCTTTGGCTTTTAGGATTGTTTCATGAATTTTGGGGTTGCTTTTCCATTTCTTTGAGAAAATATAATGGAATTTGGATAGAGATTGCTTTGAAGCTGTAGATTACTTTGGGCAATATGGACATGTTAGCAAAATTAATTCTTCCCGTTCACAAACATGAGATATCTTTCCATTTATTTGTGTCTTCCTCAATTTCTTTCATCAGTGTGCTGTAGTTTACAGTGTACAGGTCTTTGATCTCCTTACTTAAATTTATACCTATGTATTTTATTCTTTGTGATGTTATGGTAAAGGGGATTGTTTTTGTAGTTTTTCTTTGTGGTAGGTTGTTGCAAGCATATAGAAACACAGCTGATTTTAGTACATTGATTTTGTAACCTGCAAAATTGTCTGCATTTGTTGATTAGTTCCAATAGTGTTTTAGTGAAGTTTTCAGGTTTTTTTTACATGTAAGAGCATGTCATCTGTAAAAAAAAAAAGAGACTATTTTACTTCTTGTTTTATAATTTGGATGCCTTATTTTTGTCTTGACTAACTGCTCTAGATAAGACTTGTAGTACTATGTTGAGTAAAAGTGGTGATATTGGCCATCCTTGTCTTGTTCCTGGTCTAACTGTTGAGTATGACGTTACCTGTAGAATTGTCATATATGTTCTATATTAGGTTGAGGTACATTTTTGTACATCTAGTTTGTTGAGAGATTTTATCATGAAAGGTAAATGATTTCTTAAATTTGTTAATCTCAGAAAATAAGTTTGGAAGTGTTCCCTTTTCTTTCTTTCTTTTTTGTTTTGGAAGAGTCTGAGAAGGATTGGCATTAATTCTTTAAATAATGGTAGAATTTACCAGTAAAGCCATTAACATGCTGGGTTTTTCTTTGTTAAGAGATTTTGATTATCGAGTCAATCTCCTTGCTCATTAGAGGTCTGTTCAGATTTTCTATTTCTTCATGATTCAGTCTTGGTAGGTTGTACCTTTCTAGGAATGTATCCATTTCTTCCAGGTTATCCAATTTCTTGGTGTATGGCCGATCATAGTAATGTCTTGTAGTTCTCTTCTGTAGTATCAGTCACAATGTCTTCTCTCTCATTTCTGATTTTACTTATTTGAGTCTTCTGTCTTTTTTTGTTAGTATAGCTAACAGTTAATCAATTCTGTTTATCTATCAAAAAAAACAATTGTCAGGGTTTGTGTCTTTTCTATTGTTTTTCTGGCCTCTTTTTGATTTATTTCCAATCGCATCTGTGTTATTTCCTTCCTTCTGCTAACTTTACATTTAGCTTGGTTTTCTTTTTCTAGTCCCTTGAGGTGAAAAGCCTGGTTGTTTATTTGATATCTTTCTGTAGTCTTAATGTAGGCATTTATCACTATGAACTTTCTCTTATTTTCATGGAGTAGGCCACTAGCGTATCATTTAGTGTGCTAAAGTCATATACTACATTCTAAAAGGTGAATGACCTAAAAGAGTCCATGTTGACTTTCCAAATATCCCTAACCCTATATATAAAGAAGTGAAGTCCAGTTGTTTTTGAAACTACCTTCCTATGTCATAGCACAATACCCATGGTAAGGGGCCAATAATATTTAATATGTTATTTTTTAAATAAAGATTAAAATCAAATAAGGAGAGTGGATTTTTTAAGTAACAAATGAAAGCTATATAGATTGATATGCCATGGTTTGGATTAATTTAATTTAAAATAACTTCAGTGTATGTTTCTGAAACCAGTTCCCAGAAATTATATTTATATATAAAATTATAATTATAATCTTTATGATTATAATTATATATAAAATTATAATTATAATCTTTATGATTATAATTATATATATGCTTTTATTTTATTTATTTAAATGTTTATTCACTTTTTGAGAGAGACAGACAGAGAGCAAGTGGGGAGAGGGATTGAGAGAGAGGGAGACACAGAATCTGAAGCAGGCTTCGGGCTTTGTGCTGTCAGCCCAGAGTCTGATGCAGGGTTCAGACCCAGGAACTATGAGATCATGACCTGGGCATAAATATATGCATCAATGTTGCAGTATGAATTAATATCAAAATAGCAAAACTGACTAAAGCAATGTTTTCATTGCTTAACAAGCATTAATTAATATAATACTAATACCCATACTATTGTTGCCCCCATTTTAAAGATAAGAAAATGGAGGTATAAACTGTTTAAATGATAAGAAGATGGGCTGTAAACTCAGACTGTCTTATTCCAGAACCTGTGTTCTCTTCTTTACATTGCACTCTGCCTTAGAATGACACTTTGGTCAGAGCTTTTTTTTGGATTTTTGTGGATTTATAACCTGAATGATAGCACATCATCCCCAAAGATGTATATTCAATGGGAATTACTTCTGTTTCTTGTTATCTGCCGATCCATCATCACTCGATTCTTCTACTTCCACTTCCTTCCTTCAGTAGATTGTTTTCAAACTTTGAATAACATTGTTCTTCATGTAAAAAGAAAATTGCCCAGGTGGCTCCATCGGTTGAGCATCTAACTCTTGATTTTGGCTCAAGTCATGATCTCATGGTTTATAAGGTCAAGCCCAGCATCAGTGCAGAGCCTTGGGATGCTCTCTCTGTCTCTCTCTGCCTATTGCCCAGCTCACATGCTCTCTCTCTCTCTCTCTCTCTCAAAAGAAATAGGTTAACTTAAAAACTTAAAAAAAAAAAAAAGAAAATCACTTTAATTTCTTTTCTTTAAGAAGCCTAACTTGGTAAATCAATCCATGAATACTTTTATTTTCTCTCAAAACACAAAGTGTCAAAGACATACTTTCTTACAACTTTAACAAGACCCAGTTCTCATAAGTGAAGGTTTCCCCAAGGCTGACTTAAAGAAGCATGAGAAACACCTGTTTTTGTGTGCTTCTACCATACTTGGAAATTACTTCCTAGAAAACTCATACTATATATACATTTTCTCTATTGTCATTAAGATCCAACGTTGTACTTTCTATGTCAAGTCTGTTTTCTGTCGTGTCTATTATACTTTTGTTTTATTTTAGATTTAATTTCTCCAAACTTCAATATTAGAATATTCAAGTAAACAAACATATGTATTACCATACTTAAATATTATTTCATTTCCAATAACCTACAAATAACTTATGAATACCATAGAACGGTACATATTTAAACTAGGATTCATTCCCAGAGACAGAAATTTGATATGGATGTGTATTTGTGCATGTACTAATATGCTAAAGAATGAGTTTTAAAACAGCATATTTTAAATTTGCCTCATTCACAGTAACACTGGGAAGCATATATTCAATAAATAATAACCTCATTGGACTAAGAAGCTTTCAAAAAGGAAAGAGTGTAAAAGAACCCACCACATCTCAGAAGAAAGTAACTCTCTCTGTTCTAAATAAGCACAAATAATTAAATTTGACTCATAAAAGCCACTGTGGCTATCTCAGTCATGGCATTTCAGGTCCTGACATTGTGATCACAAGCCCTGGATTGTATTTCCATTCACCTGGAAAATAAATACAATCTAGGACAAGAAGGTAATAGGACTATTTTGGTATTAGCTTAAAAAGTGGTAGGGGTGTCTGTGTGGCTCAGTCAGTTAAGCATCTGTTTCTTAACTTTGGCTTTGTTAATGATCTCATGGTGGGTTGGTTGAGAGATCCAGCCCCCTGTCGGGTTCTGTGCTGACAGTGCGGAGCCTGCATGGGAATCTCTCTCTCTCTCTCTCTCTGCCCCTCCCCTGCTTCTGCTTTTTCTCTCTCCAAATAAATAAATGAATAAATAAACAAAAAGTTAAACAATTTAAAAAGTTTAAAAAATCTTGATTCCTTTTTGTTAAATTCGTAAGTAATTTTTATTGATAAATAAAACAGTAAGTCTTAAAATCTTCAAATTTATTTTAAATAGCCTGCTTTGTCTAAATTACTTCACTCATATGTCAGCCTTAATCCATTTGGCCATAATATAAATGCATTTTAAATCTACGATAAATTCTATCTGATACAATAAATATCATAAGTCTATTTCCTATGGTACCTGTGGAGTTATGTGTCCCTCTTCCTGAAGCCGGATGAGCTATTTTTTAGGCAAAATAGATGCACAATCATTTGTTTTCTCATTGTCTTACTTGATGCACATTTGAATTAGAAAAGTTTATTTCCTGTTGTTCTTAAGCTTCACCTTCAGGTAACCTCCTAAGGCAGGGAGCCACAGGACCTGACATGATACCCTACCATGATCTTCTGTTACATCTGTTAGAGATGTCAAGACTTGAAAGCCGGGGATCCTGATGCAACATGACGGGGCGACACAGAAGGTCGAGGCTGTGTGAAAAAGCGAGTCTAGATGAAGGGGTGGAGTGATATGAGGGGCGAGACTATGCCAACGGGTGAAATAAGAGAGAGGCGGGGCTGCTTGAAGGGGCAGGATGATGTGAAGGGGCCAGGTGATGCAATAAAGACTGAGTACTGTCAGCTTTTGTCTGGATGTCTGCCTATCTCCAATGCCCGGTAACATTGTAAAGTCTTCATACTCCTACCTCTTCTGTTCCTGACGTTGTCACCTTGCTCCTAAAAGGTCTGCTCTTCCATTATTAACCAGTGATGTCAACTGCTTGGTATCAGAACACTAGAACTTTGGTACCCTGCTTTGCCAAACCCTCGCTCCTTGGAGCAGGCAGGATTAGAGAACCTGTATAGAAATCCTCACAACTAGTGTGGTGACCATGGGCCTTCTCAGCCTCACTTTAACAGTCTCATGAAATAAGAGTCACATAATGAACCTCAAAATTTTATTTATATAATGAAATGAGATAAATGTAGAACAAGTGGCATTGGAGAGCTACTCAGTAATCAGAGCTTCTTTCTTGCCCTTCCAGGAAACCTTGCTTTCTTTTCTTTTTTTTTTTTTTTCCCCCAAAGGAACAAAATGTATCATAAACATAAACAAGGTAGGTTTGAAGCTTGGCAGGGACAACTGTTCTGTGGCTGCATTGTGAGTGCTTCCATTGGCTCCGTTAGCACTGGGGGATGCCAATTGTTCACCTTGTCTCCTCCTCTGCCTAACTCACCTTGCAGTCCAGTTTCCTTTCCTCTGTGAGACAAAAATCCTTGAGGATCCCTTTAACTGTATTCCCTTCCTGCTCAAAAGCTGCAAATACTATCATTGGCACTTTTGGGTATGATATCCTCAGAATGACTTCCAAGACTCCGTATGATTGCCAATTAGGTGTCATTCTCACTGCCTCCCCGAGGGCCCTCTGTGTTCTCACCGAACTGCACTGCTCACCATTCTCTGAACATGGCCGCCATGTCTGTTTCTGCTTTGCCCAGGTGGTGCCCACAGCAGGTGGTGCCCTCACCGCTCTGCCTCCACCCAGGAAAACCTGCCTACTCTCAGGGCTGACAGTTTGTCAGATTGGTGAAATCTATTTTGATCATATTTCCAGTGATTCTTGGGAGTTTCGAATTGGAAAGTTTATGAATGTCATTAGGGTGTCCCCACTTCACTTTAGGGATGATATAACTCATGTTCACACTCTAGAAGATTCTGAAACTTTTCCTGTCTCCTAATTACCATAGCATTTTTAGAAAACACACTAAATATATTGAAGATGCTTGTGCACATTTCTTAGCTCCTGTTACGGACTGAATTATGTCCTACCAAAATCCATATATCGAAGCCCTAACCCCCCATGTGATTCTATGTGGAGATGAAGTCTCTAAATAGGTAATTAAGACTAAATGAGGTCATAAGGGAGGGGTCCTAACCAAAAGGACTCATGTCCTTTTAGGAAAAGGAAGGGACACCATGAATGTCCCCATATACAGAAAAGATCCTATGAGAACACAGTAAGAAGGTAGCCCTTTGCAAGCCCAGGAGAAAGGTCTTAGGAGAAAAGAACCCCACTGACACCTTAATGTTAGATTTCTAGCCTGAAGACATGAAAGAAAATAAATTGCTGTTTTTTAGGCCACTCAGTCTGTGGTCTTTTGTTATGGTAGCCTTAACAGGCTAATATAGCTCCCCTATAAAATTAAAAGCTTCTTGGTAAAACAGTCTTCGAATCTCCCAGGGCTTTGGGGGCGTGGTTTAATACATATGACAGAATTTTACGAGCCATGACTACTTTAGACACACATGCACGGCACACAATACTTTCAGGCCACCCACCCAGTCAGATTTTCCCCCTTATTTTCCTTCAAAGTACTGCTTACTCATAATGACTTTACTTGGAAATAAATTATCCTTTAAATTAGAAATATATACCCTTCAAAATCTGAATATCAATCTCTCTAGGTGAATTTCATCTCCCTTTATGCTTTATAAGAAGGTGTGGGTGCCCCACTGTGTCCCACATTCATCTAGATAATGAACAAATATCATTTGACTATAAATATAATATGAACCACTTTGAAATGGCCCTCATTGTGGAGTTATTTGTTTTAAACAATCCTTGTTCCAATGACAAGAAAAGTAAAACTGGTGTGGTTTCAGATAGGGCAGAGAGACCCAATTTGTCATAGATTAAAATGTATTTATATTATTGCCAAATGGATTATCATGGAAGCAGAAGTGATTGAATGAAGTAATTTAGAGAAATCTGGCTATTTAAAATAAATCTGATAACTTTATGACCTATTATTTTATTCATAAAAAATCACATGTAAATTTAAACAAAAAATCAATATTTTTGAAAGGAAATAAATATCTTTAGCCCAGTCCACCACTCCTTAATTCCAAAATATCCCTTATTAACTTCATTGCTTGGATCACATTTATTTCCTAAGTGAATAGGATTACATGGCTTGTGCTCACAGGTCTGGATTGGAAGTACCATGACCAATATTATGTGTAACATATTCCTTTGGAGTCCAAAGAGTTTCTACATTCATTAGTTCCCCCAACTCCTTTTAAATGCATGCCATATAGTTGGGCTACATTGTCCTCAATTATGTGAAGCATTTCTGTTATGGGGAGGTGGTGGTGTGAGGGACATATGTCATTTAAAAATTGCCACAAGGTCATGCAGCCTTTTTAAGTAATCACATTTAGTAATGACTGAGCTGACTAGTTTTCAAATTGTAAAACAAACAAACAAACAAACAAGCAAACAAAACCACAACAGAACCCAAATAATTAAGGTATCCTCATTATTTCAACAATCCAAACCAACCTCCAAAATAGAATTGAAGGTAATGTTTAAAAACCAGTAGTGTCTTTTTTCTACCCACTCTGCCCTTTCTCGGTGTTATAAAAGATCCCTATGTTGACTTACTGTACATTGATTTTAATAGGCGTTCTCTACAGAGCAATATGAATATCATTGGAAACTGTATAATATAATTTTCTACCCCTGAAATGCTATAGAAAACTGCACATTTTATACTGACATATGCCCCATCAATAATAGAGTTTTTATATCTTATTTGTAGCTATTGATCTCAACAGCATAATGAAAAATTGATTGCAGCGAAGCACACCATTTCTTAAGTATAAATTTCAATGTCAAATTATTTTTATCTATGCTTCCCAATTATACATGAAACTTATACATTTATATATGTTTGCTTCTACAAAACTCCACCACAATAAATTAGATATGACAAGAATCTACCGAGTCAATAGAAACCAGGTTTCTCTCACTAAAATATGATTCTAAAATTAAATACTCTAGTTTCATACTAGTTTCATTTCTTCATTATAAAGAGAATTAACGTCTTGATATATGGTATCACCTTCCCATGCAATTTAACAATTTGAAATGAGGTCTTAAATCTTCTGGGGGTATGAGCATGCACACACACACACACACACACACACACACACACGCTCGCGCACGCGCGTGGGCTCAAGGAAAAAAACAGACACTCAGAAAACCCATGTGCTCATTTAGTAGTCCATACCACACTATAAATGAGGTGCCTGTTCTTTGTTATCTCTTGAGACCTTGTTATTTTAGAGGGAACATTTGCTAGGAAAATCTACAGGTATAAGTTCTGACAAAACATAAGAGGGGCATCCTCTCTGCTCCTCAATGGTGGTCCCCAAGTCTGACATCACAGACACAGAATGAATTAGGTCAAAATGCACAAATATAAATAAAATCCACCAACTTCCTACCCATAGGGAAGAAGACCCCTACAGTCCTCCAGGAAAAAAGGGGTGCAGCAGAAAATGAGAAAAACTCATTTCTCATATTAATTTGTCCTCTTTATGTTATTTTAAATGGAAACTATCAGTTAAAACGTTCTCCGAGTTCTTCTCTAAGATATGTGCATTGAAAAACATAAATATATTATTTAATAAACTTTCTCAACCTCACAAAAGAAAATGCAAGGCACACATATTCCTCTGGTGAACATCTCTCCTGCATATACATGTGATAGTGCAGTGCTGTGTCCCACAACGATCATGACCAAGCCTTACTCACACTCACTCATAACCCACTTTGGAGAATAATTTTGCCCTTCCAACCCGTTCCAATGAATAGACGACATCCTTGAGTCAATGATAGGTATTTGACCATGGGGTTAGGATTATGATTAAAAAACCAGATTTATTGAGATCTAACTCACCCAACATAAAATACACCTATTTATACTGTACAAGTGAGTGATTTTTAGTGTATTCATTCACAACATTGGGCAACTATCACTATAATCTAATTTTAGAACATTTTCATCATCCCTAAAAACAAATCTGATAGCCATACCCAGTCATTCCCCTCTGCCTGCTTTAGCATCCACTAAACTAATTTCTGTCTCTATGGATTTGCCTCTTTTCTACATTCATATGCTTGGAATCATAGAAAACGTGGCCTTTTATGTGTGGCTTCTTTCATTAGCGTGTTTTCCAGGTTCATTTGTGTTGTTGCATGTATCGGTACTTCATTCCTTTCTATGAAGTGAAGAGTGATATTTCGTTGTATGGATAGACTACGTTTTGTTTACCTATTTACCGGCTGACAGACATTTGGGTTGTTTCCGTATTTTGGCCATTAGGAGTAATGCTGTTATAAACGTTAGTGTATCAGTTATGTGGGGACAGATATTCTCATTTCTCTTGGGTATGTATTTAAGAATGGAGTTGCCAGGTCATATGGTAACTGTTTAAGTTTTTGAGAAACTGTGGACTATTTTTTGAAATGGCTACTGCACTTTACATTCCATTAACAATGTATGGGGGTTCCAATTGCTCCACATTCTTCACAACAATGGTTGTTATATTTATATTTACTTTAGTTTTGCTGGTCAACGTGACCATTGTATATTGTGACTTGATTTATATGTCCCTAGTGACAAACAATGATCATCTTTTCATGTGCCATTTGTATGTCTTCTTGG